ATTGCGTTGGTAAGGTTAAGAGTTTGGCTCTTTTTTAGCCTTCTACACAGCTGCTATGTTGAAAAAGATATAACGTTTTTGCGAAAAATCACACAAATTATAAGTTGGGAAGTTAGTATATACAGACAACATCCTTGCAGGGACGGTGTTGAGCACTGATGGATCAAGCAGACATTCTGCAATTAAATGTCACAATTTAGTTAAAATCCCCACTATGAAAACCCAACAGCCAAAGTCACCGCACTTTAAATTAGTCCACTTGAACATCAGATCGCTACACAACACTGCCCATTTGACACAGCTCAAGGAATTCCTTTCAAAGACAAAAACCGAAGCGCTTACACTATCAGAAACGTGGTTGAACACTACGATAACGAATACTGAGATCTACATCGAAGGTTATACATTATACAGACAAGATCGCTTAAATAAACATGGAGGTGGTGTTTGCGCATACATCCAAAATGACATTAAGGTCTCCAAACTCAAGGAAATTTCATTTGTTTCTGAAAACTATTTCCATCAGCTTTGCCTGAAACTTCAAAGTAAAAAGTTAAAATCTATCGTAATATGCATATCCTACAGACCAGAGTGTCCGCTGTCCTGCCTAGAAACCAACTTGAAACCGAGTTTTATCCAAGCCCTTCTACTAAACAAGCCCATTTTTATATTGGGTGATCTGAATTGCAACGTTATGAAGGATTGTCCAGAGAACACAGTATTAGGAAATTTCATGTTCGAGATGAACTTGAACCAATTAATCATAACACCAACTAGAATAACAGACACTAGTGAATCGTTAATTGACGTGATAATAACTTCAGCTTCCCATCTTGTCAACGAAAGTGGTGTCATGGATACTATTATAAGTGATCATTTACCGATGTACGCAGTTCTTAATATGAAAGCTACCCAAGCCACCACCTCAATATATCCTAACGCGAAGCTACAAGGACTATGACGGAGAAAGGTTCACCGCCCACCTTGCATCAAGATCGCAAGAGCTTATTTCCATCTTTTCGGATTCCAATGTCAATTCCAAACTTGACAATTTTAACAGCGTCCTTCTTACAACTCTGGCTGTCCATGCTCCAGTCAGAATAACTAAGATCCAAAATCGCTCTTGTCCCTTTATCACAACAGATATCAAAAACCAAATGTCCCACAGAGACCAACTCCCGTCGTTATAAACGAACACGCGATATCGATGATTGGAGAGCATTTAAAAACGCCCAAAGATCCGTCAAATCCACTCTAAAAGCTGCTGAAAAACAACACGTCCGAACTGAAGTTAACCTCCGTAAAGATAATTCTTCGGCGTTCCCTGAGTCCTGGAAAATAGCAGAAATTATACCACTCTTAAAGGAAGGTGATCATGAAGTTGCTGCAAATAACCGCCCACTTTCAATGCTTAAAGTACTATCAAAGATCTGCGAAAAAGTTGCTCTAAATCAATTTAGTGGTTTTTAGTGTGAAGTTTCACACTATTGTGATGGCTGGCGAATTCACACGAATTAGTCAGTCGGTCAGTCATAGAGTAAACTTTCCGGGGGGTGTATACACTCATGATGATCGACAAGTTTGCTCAGCTTTATCTCTGGTTTTATGCGTCAAACAAGGACAAAAATACCACAGTTCGAATCAGCGTGTAAAGTTGTGTTTACGGATGGAAAATTGATTTCAAAATTGACTTCTATATTCTAGGTATTTGTCGCCTTTGAAAGACAAAAGCCGCTCAAAATAATCCTTCACGTTTTCCGAATTCCTTTTTTCGAGGAAAGTTTTCTTTCGAATTACAACTCGAACTCTCACGATTGACTTTTTGCTGCGTCTTATCTCTGGTTTTATGCGCCCAATAAGGACAAAAATACCACCGTTCGATTCAGTGTAAGAAATTATACTCACAGATGTCAAATGTATTACTAAACTACAGTATTCTAGCGATTTATGGCCTTTGAAAGACAAGCGAAATTGTATTGTTCACAAATCGCTCAAAATTATTAAACATAATTAAAAGTGCAATACATTTGACCTTGATAACTTTCGTATTGTTGGTTTTCTCTTTTTCGGCCGTATACCAGTGGATTCGTCTCACTTTTCTCTTTATTTTGTTAGTAGTTTGAGCCCAAAATATTATATTTTGAAGCTTTTAATGTGCAGTTTTAATAAGCGAAATTGTATTGTTTACAAATCGCTCAAAATTACTAAACTAATTAAAAATGCAGTCCGTTTGATCCTTGATAACTTCGGAATTGTTGGGTTTTCTCGTTTTCGGCCGTATGCCAGTCGATTCGTCTCACTTTTCTCTTCATTTTGATAGTATTTTGAGCCCAAAATATTTTATTTTGAAGGCTTTAAAACGCAGTTTCGACCCTAACGTACGGACCAACTGGCGGCCGACAGGAGAATGTAGCGTGCTAAATATTAAACTAAGGTACCTGCAAGGTAGGGATTGCTGCGGGCATCAAAAGCAAATAGAACCACAGTAAAGAGCGCAAATTATATCAAGCACAGTGATTACTCGCAGCGACTAGTGAGCTGTGAATGGAACTGAAAAGAAGGCAAGAAGCAATATATATTGAAGTAGCAAAGATTGAAGTAGCAAAGACAAGGGGTTAAAGGGCAATCAGAGGTGACAGATATTAAACATGTGCGATTTCATATCAAGTCTGTCAAGTCATATCTGCTAGGTGCATTTACCACATTATATAGACTATATACACAGAATTATCACACTAAGAAACCAAAACTTTATAAAAAATATAGAACTGACAGTGGCCAAAGTCCAAAACAAATGTAAGCGTAACATTAAACGTCACATGAAAAAGCTTTAGAAATTCGATAAAAATTCGATGGTGCGTCCTCGCAGACCTCGCGCGCTCACTTTTCCCTCACTAGAAACTTCATGTATTAGCCAACAGGAGAAATCTAGGGGCCCCATCTAGCGTATTATTTTATATAAGTTTACTTGTAGCCGAAACGCCAGAAATGTTTTTTGCAGGGCACCGCATTTTAGTACTGTGTCTGGTTATATTAATAATCTCTGTTTTAGGAATGTTTTTATTCTGTCAACATGTCTAGATTTAGATTAAAACTAGGTTACCCACAGGACAGTAATGCTGCCTTTGACAGCAACAGACAAACTACAGGTTGTTGAACGAGTCCTTCAGAAACATTCTATTATTGTTATCCTAGTCTCTAATAGCCGCTACGCAGCCTATTGTTATCCTTGTTAACCCATTTATTGACAGCACGGCCCTACCACTGACTGAGTATTAAAAATCGTCTGGCGTTGGACAGGGTAAATACTAAAGTCATTACTGTGCTGACGGATTAACAAGAGCCATTGGCAGATAGGTTTGTTAACCCAATTACTCGCAGTACCCTGTACCACTGACGAGTAAAATTTTCTGGCGCTGGACAAGGGACTGGCGCATTGCCAGCTAATGGGTTAAACCACCGTGGTTAAACATAAGATTTGATGCTCCAGGAAATGTAAACAAACTATCAGTGTGACATCCCAGTTTATATATTTATATACTCGTGTTAGAATATGCTCCTGATATTCTGTTGACAATGATAATAAGATTATTAGTTAATGAATGACATTGATTACTATAGATATGTATCAGTGTAAAATGTAATCTCTGGATACCACAAATTCCAGTACAAATAGTTGCTCCATGTACCAAACTGTATACCATTTATGGTAATAGAATGTGATATGTCAAAATACTTATTATAGATATAATCTTGTATATATATGTGTGATTTTTATTATTAAATACATTCTTTTGTAAAACTCCAAAGTTGTATGTTGTGCTTCGTATTCGAGAAAGAGCGATGGCAACGGTACAAAACCCAACAGGTTATGGGCCCAGAAGAGGCTTGATTTTTGATGGAGACGAGAACAAGTATGAATTATGGGAGGTGAAGTTTTTGGGATATATGCGACTCCAAAAACTTTGCAATATATTCATTCCTAGCAGTAGCGAAAGAGAACTAGATGAGGCAAAGAACGCAGATGCCTTTGCCGAATTAGTGCAATGTCTAGATGACAGGAGCTTGGCCCTGGTCATACGAGAGGCGAAAGACAATGGAAGAAAAGCCCTGACGGTTCTGAGAGAACATTATCAAGGCAAGGGAAAGCCCAGAATAATCTCGCTGTACACGGAGTTAACGTCGTTGAAGAAGGCAGAAAATGAGACAATTACGGACTACATCATACGGGCAGAAACTGCCGCGACCGCATTGAAGGCTGCCGAGGAAGTAATCAGTGATGGACTTCTGATTGCCATGGTACTCAAGGGTCTACCAAACGCTTATAAAACATTTTCTACGGTGGTTATTCAACGAGAAAACCAGATGAATTTTGGCGACTTCAAAATCGCATTGCGTAACCACGAAGAGAACGAGAAGTGCTGCAGACCGGCGGAGAATGGCGACAACGTAATGTACGTGAAGAAGAAATTTGAAGGAAAGTGTTTTAAGTGTGACAAGAAAGGACATAAAAGTTCCGATTGCTGGATGAAAGCTGAAAAATGGTGCAACAAGTGCAAGAGCAAGACACACAATACCAAGGATTGCAGAGCAAGAAGAGACGGTGTAAAGATGGCCGCTGAAACCGGCGAAGAGAACGCTAAAATACATTCATTTGCATTTACACTTAAGGAAAATAATTCTAATGGAGGTAAGACCTCAAATCTACTAGTAGATACAGGGGCAACAAGTCATATAATTAATGATAAATCTAAATTTGTAAATTTTGATGAGAAGTTCGACCCAAGTAATCATGTAATAGAGTTAGCTGACGGAAGTAAAGCTAATGTTGTTTTAGGTAAAGGTAACGCTAAAGTTAAATTGTACGATATTAATGGTAATTTACAAGATGTAATGCTTAGTAACGCGCTGTATATTCCGTCTTATCAGCAAAATATTTTCTCCGTTCCTGCTGCAATAGAGAAGGGGGCTGCTGTTAGCTTAGATAGGCAAGTTAGAGAGTACAGGGACCCCGAGGGAACAGTGTTTGGTATCGAACAGGTAGGTAAATTATATTACTTAAATAGTATATCATCTTCTCGAAATAACGCATCGTCCCTAATGGAATGGCACAAGATATTAGGGCATTGTAATTATAATGATGTGCGCAAACTTGAGAGCGTGGTTAAAGGTATGAAGATAATAGAAGACAAGGAAATCCTTTGTGAGGTATGTACACAGGGTAAAATGTGCCAACATCGAAGGCGAGAGCCAGATCAAAGGGCAAAAGGTCCTCTTGAGTTCGTACACTGTGATTTAGCTGGTCCAGTTGAGCCAGCAGCGAAGGATGGTTTTAAATATGCCTTATCTTTTGTAGATGATTTCACTGGTACTAACTTAATATATTTTCTTAAACAGAAGAGCGATACAGTGGAAGCTACTGAAAAGTTTTTGGCTGATATTGCACCCTTTGGAAAGGTAAAACGCATTAGAAGCGACAATGGTACGGAATTTACCAGCCGGAAATTTAAATCACTACTGCGTCAAAATTCAATTAAACACGAAACCAGTGCGCCATA